GGAACCCGCCGTGCTGCGCCGTGCTGCGAGGTAGCGGGCTCGGAGAACGCCAAGCCCTGTTTTCCTTTGAAAGCAGAGAAGTGTACGTTCACGTTCCTCCTGTTGCAGGGTCTGGGAGACGGTTTACCTTCCATTAAGACAAAAAACTGTTGCCTTTCCTAGATCTTCATGGTTTCCCAGTCAGGTCGCACTTGCTTGTCATCTGTACTGTGTCTTTTCTCCGTCCTGTTCCAGACGTGGGGATTGGGACGCTCCAGGCACGTCTGCTGCTTCACTGTGCCGAGGGCGGGTTGTGCACCTGGGCGCCATCTGGAGCAGGGGCTGGGCCTGAGAGAAGAGCAGTGTCTGCCCCAGGAGAGCTGCCTCTGCCCCGCGGGAGCTGCTGTGTCTGTGCAGCAGCAAGGGAAGGGACGGAGGCACCCTCATCTCACCCTTAGCAGCCTGCGCTGAAGCCCCTGGACGGCCCTCCAGGCCCACACTGTTGTGGCCCTGTTGTGAAGCTGGGAAAGGAGTGTCTTCAAGACTGTTAGGCTGAGGTGCGAACAGGGCTGTTTGCCCAAGGCCAGCGCATGCCCCAGTGGGCAGTTCCTATGCAGGGTGGTCCTAGAGATGCCAGGTCCTTGTGTGGAAAAGCAGCTGATGGGGGCAAGGCAGGCAGAGAAGGGAAGTCCAGTCAGGTTTACTAGAGGTAGAGAGGTCAGGGAGAAGAGGAGGCTGGGAAGGTTGGGTTCCAGGGGGACCAGATCACACCTGTCAGGGTACACACGGAGTGGAGGGCAGGCCAGGGTTTGGGGAGGCTGGAAGGAAAAGTAAGGGGCATGTGGGACAATGATCTAGACCTGACCCCCAGGGCCTCAGGGCCTTCTCCCCTAGTGGTGGTGGCGGAGGCAATGGTGGGCCTCACCCCCAGCCAGGTTCTGAGGGCCGGTCCCGTCTCTGCCAAGTGCTGGCGTCGGGTGGAGCGGCTGTGGGAGGAGCACAAGTAGCACTGCCCCTGCTCTGCCCCAGGTGCCACTGCTTGTAGACAGGCAGGCCCGCCTCCCGGCTCCCCTTGCCTCTGGGCTGGCAGCCCTCTTCCAGGGGTTTTGGCAGGAGACTGGCTTGGTCAGAATGGCATTTTAGGAAGACCCTCTGGTGGCTTTGTGGGGGTGGGATGGAGGGGCTGGGACACAGGGCCATGGGAAGGCCAGGCGTGGTAGAGCGAGGTGGGAGGGAGCAGGCCAGGCTGTGGGTGTGCGCGCAGCTGCTTGGGGGCCTTTGAAGAGGGTGGGCTCCTCAGACAGGTCCGCGTGCTCCATTTCCAGCAGTTGCCAACCCCTTTGACAGCAGACCCTGGGAAGGTGACACAAAATGACATTTGGTTGCTTGCTTTCTGATGGAGGAGCACAGGAGCAGGCTGCGTGTGGCGGGGCTGGTGCTCGGGCCCAGCTGGGACAGGTGCTGCCCGTGGCCCGCGGCGCAGGTGCAGACGGCTCCCTCTCGGCGGTGCTTGACGGCCTGACTTTGAACCCCTCCCTGTTTAGCCCTGCTTCCTCTGCTGGGCCGGTCGCTTTCTGGGTTCACCCCCTCCCTAGCCCCAGTGGGTTTGCCCCTTGACAACTCCCAGGTCTCCATGTGTGTCTTCTAGTGACTTTCTCCAGCTCTTGTTTTCTTTGACTTTTGCCACATACATTTTCATTAATTATCCTTCTCCCACAAGGATATTCTCAGCATCGTTACCACCTTGCCCCCCATCCTTGTTCCCCAGCAAGCTGGCACAGTGTTTTGGGGTGCTGGGAACGTTTTGTTGAGAATGTGAACAGAATGCCAAGGCTGGATTTAGCTAAACGTGTTTTTAAAATAATTTTAACTGCGCTGAGCAAGAGTGTAAATTACAAAAGGCGCATGTAGAATGTAGATAAAAAGACTTTCGTCAAGTTCAAATTGTGGGAAATAATACTTTTCCTCTAAGCTCATGTTATAAAATGTTGTATGAGACTGTTCTAAACTGACTGGAGAACAGTCTGAGCATGACCTCACCAGTTGGAACAGAGCATGAAATAAAACACGAAGCCTTTACTCTTTTTTGCAGGATCTGTTTAGAAGATTTTTAAATTACAGAGATTCCTTGAACTGGAGGATAATAGTGAAGGGCCCACAAAGGAAATAAGAATCAAGCAATGAGGCTTTAAATCACTGAATGTGAGCAAAAGTGAAGGGAGTGTTGCTGGGGTCTGAGCACTGTCCCCCCAGCAGGAGCCCTGGCCAGCAAGGACTGCTGTGTGGCTGCCCCGCCTGCAGAGGGCCGGCCTCGCAGGCCGGCCTTGGGCACTGAGCGCCGCCAGGAAGGTGGGAAGCTTCCCAGGGATGTTTTTGCTGGAGGTGAAGGCTCCCCTCCCCTGGGACTGCCAAGTGGCCGCTGGAGTCATGCGGAGTCATGCGCGGTCCTTTCTCTTCCTGTTCCGCCAGCGGCAGCTCAGCAGCAGCCCCTGGAAGTCTAGACCCGATACCCGTGTAAGGGATCTTTCGTAAACATTTTTGATCAGTGACTCACTGTCTTAAGAAACGGATTTTTTGTATAAAATGATCTTTACATTGTCGTTTAAGGACCCAAACCATTTTCTTGGAATACCATCCAGGCAAGTTCATTTCCCCAGAACGGGGAGTTTTGTGCATTGTCCTTTCTGCGTCTTCAGATGGATGCTTTGATGTCCTCATAGTTGGGGCCCATAGCTCTTCAGAGATGGGGAGGCATTTGTCAGGTGTCACCGCTCTTGGCCCTCAGCTGACTAATGAATGACTCTTCTGAGTTTTGCTGTTGATGGAAACCTTTTCATTAACCAACCACTCGGTGAAATAACAAAAGGGTTTGAAATGGGATGAGAGGCACTTTTGAAAAAACAAATCTTATATTTATTTAAAATAAAACTCAGAGGGCCTCTCCTGGTGGCGCAGCAGTTGAGCGCTGGGCTGGGAAGCTGCCCGCAGCCTCTGCAGCGCCCGTTCCATCCCCAGCCGCCAGCGAGGGTCCCACAAGGCGCGCAGACCTCTTCTGCCACGCCCGCTGCTCCCCTCAGCAGTGTATTTTGTCAGTCTGCCTGTTTTGTTCTCCGTTCTGGCTCTGGTGAATTCTCTCACCCTCCCATGCTTCTGACTGTACCCAGTGCTTGCATAAATAAATAAATCTTTAAAAAAATAAAATAAAACTCAGGAAGGATGCTGCAGAAAATGTTCGCTAAAACAGAAAAAGGAAGAGTAAGAGCAGATGCTGCAATTTCTTTCCAAGACTTAACAGTAGTCAAAAGATCCTTTGGAAGAACAGAAGAGGGGAGTTATTTGGAGTGTCTTTTTTAAGTGAAATCTAGGGGCTACTTCAGGGGTCTGATTCCAGCTAGTGAGCCTGGGAGACTCAGTTCCTTCTGCAGCTTCGGCCTTGTAAGCTGTGATCATTTTAAGTTTGACGAGCAGAGTGCAGTATGAAATGAAGCAAGGAACTTGGCATTTATACACCGTGAGTCAAGTTTGACATCAGTCTGGATTGGGAATTGACTGGAAGGTTTGGTGTTGGACTGTGGCTCCACGGCAGTGTCTTGACCCAGAGGCATGCATGAGCAATACTTCCCGTTGGGCCTTGGCCATTAATCTGTGGAATGAAGCAAGAGCTGGAGAGGAAAATCGAGAGACTGCCTTGGATTTCCTGACGTCCTGTTGAATCAAAAAAGCAGTAGGAGGCCCTTTCCTTCCTGACAAAGGCCTCGCTTGTCCCCTCTCCTGCAGTTCCCAGCATCTGTCTCCACATTGGGGACGGTCCCCCTCTAACCCATACTTGAGCTCGCCAGTCACCCCGGGCCGTGTCTGCCTCTGCCTGTTCCAGGTGTTTTACAGGCCACTTCCCCCGATTATGTTACTGTGATCAGATCCAGATGCTGCAGAATGTTTGATAGAAGAGGTCAAATGGCATGTGAGAAGAAAAGCATTTCTGTATTCATGACTTTGGTTTAATTTCCTGTGTGGGCCTGCTCATGACCTCGAGGCTGGGACACTGGAGCCAAACACACAAATACTTTTTCAGGATGGCTTGAGGAGACCCTTCTTCCCAGTATACTTGTTCTTGTTAGGTTATCAATGATTCGTGTCTGCTGACTTCTATTTTTAAGTGTTCCTATTTTCGTAATTGTAAATAGTTAACAGATCCTGTCTCTGGCACAGAGAGCTAGAAATAAAGGTGTAGGTCTGTGACTGAGGATCCAAAGGTAACCGGCAGATGAGAGCTGGGCTGGGGTTGTAGTGGGAGAGCTGGTGTTGACAGGGGAGGTGAGGCCAAAAAAATGGCTCTTGCCTCTGCCTATAGAGAAAGTGGACAGAAAATGTTTGTCATTATAAATGCTCTTGTACCATTTGATATTAATTTTGATATATATTTAATGTTCTCAAGTAGCAGGCTTTCATGTTATAAGCACTATAAAAGACATAGGAAGAAAGACTATATTTCTAAATAAGTTCATTTTGTGTTTTGGGTTTTTTTTGGATTTATTATCTATGTGTAGAAGAGCTGGGGTGTAGGCCAGAGGTGTGGGAGCTGAGAAGATTTACCAGAGACAGAGTGGGGAGCAGTGGGCGAGTCAGAGAGGTCTGCTGCGCCTTGTGGACAGCTCCCTGGCCAGGGATTGAACTCAGGCTGCAGTGGCTGGTGATCGCTTCATAGTCTTTAACCCCTGTGCCACCTGAGAGGACCTAATTGAGTTAATTTTGAATTAATGAATTTTAAAAGTTTAAATTACTTGGGAATAGTAGCAACCACCTTGGAATGAAAATACTTCTTTTTTTTGTAAGCAAGATTTGGAAAGGAACTGATGAAAAGATTTTAACCACCCATCTTACTAATATATTATGTATACGGATGTTAAGAAATGGAATAAATTGGGCATATATGATGTTGAAAACATAGGCTTTTTTGATACTGATAATAAAAATAATTTCCTCCTGTTCTCCCTGTTTCTTCTTCCCTCTTCCTCTTCCAGAAGCCCTTCAGAGGCCAGTAGCGTCTGACTTCGAGTCTCAAGGTCTGAGCGAAGCTGCTCGGTGGAACTCCAAGGAAAACCTTCTCGCTGGTCCTAGTGAAAATGACCCCAACCTTTTCGTTGCACTGTATGATTTTGTGGCCAGTGGGGACAACACTCTAAGCATAACTAAAGGTAAGAGGGCCGCGGGCAGCTGCCGGTGGTTGTGAGGCAGAAATCGGGGAAAGTGGCTTGACTGGCCACTGCTTTGCTTGTTGAAAGAGCAGATTTAATCTTGGAAATGCACAACCATCACTCTCCCCTTGCTCCCCCCCCCCAAAAAAAAAAAAAAAAAACCAGCATTTTTAGAAGAGAGTCGCTTTTCCTTAATTAAGGAGAAGGGTCCCTGACAGTGGTCCTTAGCAAAACCAAGCTTCCCTCTTCCGTACAGAAAATGATATCTGGACCAAACACTTTCTCTTTAAGTATTTTTTCACTAAAAATCTTCCTTGTCTTAACTGGGAATAGAGCACTTGCGTGAACAGAGCAGACATGTAGAGACGGGGCTCCGTATTTATCTGTGCATTCGGTGCAGTCAGGAACTTTGTGCGTAAGCATGTATTTTTATGCGCTTATACATGGATGGGTTTATGTGGGCTTGTTAAAGTGAAATAGGTATTTAGGAACTTGGAGACTTGGAGTAATGATACCAGAATAAACGAGAAAGAGCAAAGCCAGCCTGTGAAGCGAAGGTGCCTGATTTGGTTGTTTATTCCTCAGGTGAAAAGCTCCGGGTCTTGGGCTACAATCACAATGGCGAATGGTGTGAAGCGCAAACCAAAAATGGCCAAGGCTGGGTCCCAAGCAACTACATCACGCCAGTCAACAGCCTGGAGAAGCATTCCTGGTACCACGGGCCTGTGTCCCGCAACGCCGCCGAGTACCTGCTGAGCAGTGGCATCAACGGCAGCTTCTTGGTGCGGGAGAGCGAGAGCAGCCCCGGCCAGAGGTCCATCTCGCTGAGATACGAAGGCAGGGTGTACCACTACAGGATCAACACTGCTTCCGATGGCAAGGTAGGGCCCCGGGGAGGCGCCCAGGCGGGAGCCCTGGGCAGAGGTGCTGGCCTTTGGCTGGTGGCGCCCAGAGCGTGCTGCTGGGTTGATCAGGCGTTGCGGTAAAGCTCAGCCAAGGTGTGTGAAGAAGCTCTGAGTAAACAGCAGGCGTCACTTCTCCAGCGGGACGCCTCTGGGTGGCCTGCGGAGCCCTGCCACTGGCCATCGGTTGAGCTCGGTGCAGTGTCTGCTGGGTTTTGGACATTCTGCTTGCATTAGGACTCCCTTAAAGGGGTGCTGTGTCCTCAGCAACAGCGTTCCCGCAAGAGACGGGTACTTTGAGGCCACCTTCACAGCCCCTCTCGACACACCCCCTCCGCGGGGTGAAGCCACGGTTCTGTGTGCACATGTGCATACGTGTCCTGCATACACATAGGTTTTTTTTTTAAAAAGGAGATGCATTTTTACATGAGGGATGTGGAGGCTTACGGGGCGAAGTGTCTAGGCAAAGGTCATGTGTGAGGGGCTGACGGCCTGGGCTCTGCTCAGCGGCTCGGGGCAGGCAGCGAGGCTATCGGGGCAGAGTGACGTCTGTTTTTTAAACGTAAGGCATGCACATGGTTTCCCTTTTTATTAAAAAGGAAGAACAAGTGAATTATGGTGAAAAGGAAGTCAGACTCCTAAATCATGCCCTCTGCCAGAGGCTGCCCCTCTGAGCGCTCCCCCAGAGTCACCTGGGGTGTGCATGCGCACATTTTTGACAAACAGTGATGCATCCTCCACGCTGCTCTGGTCTTGCCCTTACCCATCTAGTCATAAATTGTGGAGACTGTTTTATGGCCACACATTTAGAGCTGCCTCGTTCTTGTTGATCACTGCGTAGCCGGGCGGGTCATCGTTTTTTGCGGCAGTCCGCCGGTCGCTAGGATGGTTCCAGAGCATCACTGCCATATGCAAGGCTCTCCAGCCTTTCTCAGCCCACTGCAGAAACAGTCTCCATCAGCACCCGGCACTCAGCCTAGTGACACACCTCACTTCCCTTAACATATGCAGAGCTCTCTGCGACGTTTCGTGTTCTAATCTGTTCTGTTTCTCAAAAAATTCTGGTCGTGATCCAATACATTTAGATCCAGTAGTGGGTCAGAACCTGCAGTGTGAAGCTACGTGGCAGGAGTTTCTGGGAGGTTGTTAGAACTGGCAGGAGTTTCTGGGAGGTTCTGTGCGTCTGGGGTGCCAGGTCACCCTCTGTAGGGGCCGCGCACGCAGGCTTTCTCCCCAGCGGCCAGCGAGAGTGCGGTGCCCCTGCCCTCACAGGGTCTGCTCTCAGCCGTCTGTCCCGGGCGAGGAGTGCTGTCCCCTCATACCCATTTCACGTGTGTCCCATGTCGTTTACCGGTGGCATTTACTAGTCTTTCCCTTTGCGTTTGAAATGCGCTCCGTGTGAGTATGTCCTTTAGGTCCACCGCTCTGCTCTCCTCACCCGCTGGCCTGGGCATACGCCAGCTGGACGGGCTCTCAGCTCTTGTGATGTGTCAGTGTCTGCTGGCTGCCCCTCTCCATCTTTTTGGCACCCTCACAGGTATCCTCACACACCTGCCTCTGCCCGCCCCCCGCATTCTCTCTCTCTCTCTCTCTCTCTCTGTACTTCGTGGATGTATTTTCCCACCTCTCTCAGTACTTTAAGATGTGTTTTCCCACATCTTAAAGCCTTCTGGCCCAGGTCCTACTGCCACTGCTGAGCGCGTCCGGCGCTTGCAGAGAGCCCTCCTTGTGCCTGTGCTGTGGTTCGCGTGGCTGACAGCACGGTCAGTTGTTGGTGTGTGCTGGAGATTGGCCTTTCAGTTCGTCTCAGGGGCTCCCTGTTCTTGCCCCCACATGTGCAGCGAGGGCCTTCCATACTGCGGGATGAACACCAGCCTGCTGGGCCTTTTGAACCCTGCCTTCAGACTGCAGGCTGCCTTTCGGCGAACCCAGACCCCAGAGGGCCTCGCCCACGAGGGAGGTGTTCCCTGGAACGACAACCGGCTTCCTTTCTGTCGCTGCCGCAGCCCTGCCACGGCGCCGGCGCACACGGAGCAGGCGGGATGGCCGCTTTTCCCCCGAGTTGTTTAATCAGCATCCTTGGAACAGATGCCGGCAGGCATGATCTGGTTTGGCCACTCACTAGCCAGGGCTCAGTGTAGAATGCTGTTCAGAGGGGAGAGCAAGGCCTGCCAGTCTGATGTGCGGTGTTGGCGAGTCCTGGGAGGAAGCCGGCTGTGTCTGCAAGCTGGCACGCCAGGCGGCTCCTCGCACTTCAGGTAGCGCTCGGGAAGCCCCTCTCAGGAAGCCTTGTCTCTGCCACTGGGTGTCTCGTCCACACGTCCCCAGTAGGCACCGTGTTCCCCCTTCCGGGCACAGACTCTCCCTTCGGTTGTCAGGGCACCTGGAGGCAGGGGTCGGCTGGCGGACCCTGAGGGCTGCGTGTGAGAGGAAACCTGTTGGGTAGGGGCGTGTTCCTGGACCGGGTGGGACAGCTTCAGGGTAGATGGGGTGTTCTGTGCAGCTCGGGGCACTGAAAATGCCGCTCACGTAGGAGGGCTTTCAGGCAGTCCTTTTTGGATTTCTAGGGGGAAAATTTAAGATTGGTAGGCGGGCCAGCCAGGGGTTGACTGAATTTAATTCTTTTTTTAAAAAAAGATTTATTTTTTATTTATATAAGAGCCAGGGTACAGGCCAGATGCGCGGGAAGGTGAGAGGATTCACCAGAGACAGAGTGGGGAATAGAACAGGCAGACTGACTGAAATCCACTGCTGAGGGGAGCAGCGGGCGAGACAGGAGAGGTCTGCTGTGCCATGTGGGTTGCTCTGAGGCTGGCAGGGTTGGAACCGGCACTGCAGAGGCTGCGGACAGCTTCACAGCGCTGTGCTCAACCGCCTGTGCCACCAGGGAGGCCCTGAATTTAATTCTTATTTTCAAATTAGCTAATCTTTAGAAAACAGCTGACTTTACAAGATTCTTCTCTAAGGCCCAGGGGATTCCTCCCACCTCCACCCTCTTGCCTCTGACTGACCTCTCTTCCTGCTCCTGAGCCTCAGGCTGGTCAGCCAGCCCAGGGCCACCCGCTCAGGGCTGGAGTCGAGCGGCCTGGCACCCGTGGAATGGCCGCTGCCAGATGGAGCCATGGCTGTTAACAGTTCAGACCACCTTGAGAATCTACCCAGGGATTTGACTGTCAGTGCTGATGCCCTCTCCGAGCTTATAGCCCTCTGCTCTCCTAGAAGAAGACGGGTCTTCTCCACCGTCCCCTGCTGCATCGTCTCAGCTGTTCTGGATATTTGTGTGTACACCTGATTTACTTCTGCAAGACGCCACTGTCAAGTTCCACGGCCCCTTGAGCTCCACAGCCCCTTGAGCCCTTGATAGAGTCTTCCCTTCATAGAGATGCCAGTTGCGTTCTTGGTCTGCTGATGAGTCAGGTTCAGGGTGATAGGGGTGGCGTCTGGGTTACGCTTCAGCAGAGGCTGCTGGGCAGGCAGGTGAGGGCCTTCCAGGGAAAGCCTCCTCCAATGTGGCGGCCCGCCACTTGCCGTGGTGCCCCCCGGGAGCATTTTTCAGTGCTACCTTCCTGCCGGGACACGAGGCCCTCTCGGGGGACAGGGCCTAGCAGCCTGTACGCCGTCTGAGGTGGGACTCCAGGGTCTGCGGCCGCCAGAGGTGCGCAGGTCTCAACTCTGCTAGCCTGTGAGTCTGGCTGTTGGGAGGAAAGCCATTCCTGATGTCTTTGACAAGGCCTGACTTTCCCCTTCCGGCGTGATCGGGAAGCGGCATGGCCTGGCCAGCCCCCGGGGTGTTCACATCAGCAGGTGCATGGTGTGATGACGCGCCGTCCAGAATGCTTGCTGCACTTTCTGTTCTGGAGCTGCCGTGAGTCCTGGTGAAGACTAGCCTGCCGCTAGCTGAGTGCCACTGCAGAGGCCGCGCTGACCTACAGGTAGCCCAGATTTGACAGTGGAAGATGGGCGCAGCACACTTAGGGGGACGAGTTTCAATATTTAATATGTGTCGGTTATTATGTAAATTTTATGTTGAAAGATGAACTGAGTTACAGGGTCTGTAAATTTAATTATTGAAAAGGATAAAGTTTGTCCATTCTGCAGAGCCTCCCATAACTCTGAAGTCAGACAGGGGAGGCTGAGAGTGAATCACTTGAGACCAAGAACAAATTCTGCATACACTGGGGCTGAGGGGCGCCATTAGCATGCTGCCCGCAGAGGAGTGCGGCCTGCTGCTTGGGGAGCCCGCCTTTCGAGTTGACGGGGAGAAGCAGGTAATGAGCCTGGATCCCCAGTGACCTGCCCAAGCAAGACACGCTCTTTCACCCCTGCTCTCCCCGTGATTTCCACAGTTAGAGGGGGCCCTGATTCCAGGCAGTGCCTTCTGGAATCGCTTTTCTCTCACACTGTCAGCTGAGCTAATCCGAGGGGAGAAGGCCGAGTATATGCCACCTGCAGCGAAGTAGTTGGACAACTGACAGACTTTTCCAGAGAGGGCAGGGATGAGGCGCTGTCCCCACGCTCCCTCTGTCTTCACGAGCTGCCAAGTGTGTTGGCGTGTGGGCACTGCCTAGGGCAGGCCCCATGGTGTGCTGCCTCCCCCCACCCGCTCTGCCCGTGGGCACCTGAGCACAAGCAGCAGTTCTCTTAGAGGCTTCTCCTAGGGGTTCTGAAGTACAGGAGAGGGGTCCCCGCACTGTCTTGCAAAGCTCCAGTCTTTTTGGACAACTCGTGGGTTGTTTAGAATTTTATTTTAGTAGGATGCTACCAAAAGTTTTCAAGTTACAATCCTCTAAGCCAAGTTTGCCGACGCCTTGCCTAATTTTTAAAAGCTCCTTTACATCACCTCCGCAAGCAAAGAAGAAAAATCTTGTTAACGAGTCCTAGTCACCCTCTTCACGGCTGTAGATGAAGTCGGCTCGTGTTTTGTTACTATTTCTTTTAAAATCTTTATATTACCTGAGAATACAAATGTGCAGGCCGTAGCGCTGTCCATCACCCACGGCCGAGACCTGGACCCCGCGTGAGCTTCCTGCTGCTGCTTCCGTTTTTCCAAAGGAGTAAGATGCTGGAGCTCCCGTCCGCCCTCCCTGCTGCCCAGGCGCCACCACTGTCCTGTGTCTTTGCAGTTTGAGCGCATCTCAGGGCAGATGCCTGGCTGTGATTTTACATATTCCTTCCTCAGCGGGTCGTTGGCTGCCTCAAGTGAGTCAGTCCACCCAGGTGTGTTGCTGGAGCCCAGATGGTCTGCAGGGGTCATAGTGGGGCATTGTCGGTGAGGAAGCATCCCCTCCCCACGTCACTGAAGCTAACAAGAAGAAAGAGCTGGCACCAGCCACTTTATTGCTTTCTGTCACCTGCACGTTCCACCCCATCTCAGCTGAGTCCAGAACTCCAAAGGGGCCCATGGGGGGAGGGTCCCCGTGCAGGTTTCCAGCCGCCCGTGGAGCTCAGCTGGGGGTGTGGGCTCTTGTGTCTGAAATCGCCTTTCCACTTTCCTGCGATGGGAGGCTGTCTGAGCGTTGTGCAGCCCCCACGCCCTCTGCTGCTGGGGTGCCGAGGGCACACCACTGGGACTTCAGGCCAAGGCCTCTGGTGCTTCCCAGCAGCCCAAGTCAAGGCGGGAGGGGGGGATGCGAAGGAGATTTATGTTGTATTTGGCGACTTTCATCTCTGATCTCTGTTCAGTTCTAGTTAATTACATAATTGTAGGTACTAATGATAGGTGCTACGTAATAATTATAATTGGAATGATTGTTGTTTCCAATCAGCAAACACCCAAGTTACTCTTCAGGAATGAACAGACATTCATTGGGTGCCTTTTATGTGCTCATTTTCTGGTCTTGACATTGGAGATACAAGGTGGGAGCAGCTAGCCGTTCCCTCTGCTTTCTAACAGCACAACGTTCCCACTTGGTGTGATTCGGTAGGCCACTTTGGGGGTCTGGGGGTGCTTAAAATTTTTCCTTATTAATTAATGGTAATAGCATCCCGAGGCCCGAAAAATAATCTGCAAGTTATACCAAATAGGAATGTTTTACTTTTGGGGATGCCCGTGGCTTTGGGCTCTGCGCTCACAGAGTTGGGCCTGGCGGGTGGAGGCAGACAGCGCCGCTGAGCGGAGAAATAGGCAGTGATCGGTGGTGGTGGGAGCAGCTCAGGGAGGCCCCAAAGCTGCTCCTCCGGCTGGGGGCTGCTTCGTGGACATCGCGTTGGGCCAAGAGAGGTGAGCGAGAACTGGGATGGGAACATTAGGTGAGCGGACGCCTTCGGGCAGACGCACGGCAGGTGGGAGGGCCCTGGGCGTTTACTGCCTCTCTCAGCTCTAGAAGGGAGTTAGCGCCCACATCAAGAGACTTGTCGGGCATTTTCCTGAACACGTGGTCCCGTGTGGAGCGCGTGTTTCTCACCAGTGCACTGAGCCCGGAGCTGCGGAGTCGGCAGCGTCTCCTCTCGCGCGGACTCAACTCTCCCCTTTGTCCTCAGCTGTACGTCTCTTCGGAGAGCCGCTTCAACACGCTGGCCGAGCTGGTGCACCACCATTCCACAGTGGCCGACGGGCTCATCACCACCCTCCACTACCCGGCCCCCAAGCGCAACAAGCCCACGGTCTATGGCGTGTCCCCCAACTACGACAAGTGGGAAATGGAGCGCACGGACATCACCATGAAGCACAAGCTGGGAGGAGGCCAGTACGGGGAAGTGTACGAGGGCGTGTGGAAGAAGTACAGCCTGACAGTGGCCGTGAAGACCTTGAAGGTAGGCTCAGCGCCTGCTTACCTGCTCAGCCGCGGCGGCTCCTGGTCTGCTGCGTGGGCCTCCGCTTCCAGGAAGCCTGCCAGCGCAGAGCCATCAGCGTGTCCCCAGCGGTTCAGGCGAGCAGTGCTGCAGCCGGGGCTCGTCGTTTGGAGAGGTTTTTTCTTTCTGTGGCATAAGGCTTCTAAAGCCATGGGTCTCTGCTCTCTGTTCTCTGTGTGTGGCATTCGGATCACTGTCTACTGAGAGTTAAGAAAAAGAGAGAGAGAAGCTGTCTGTGTTTTGAAAGGAGATTGCTGACGCGTGGGCTTCCACGGGCAGGTTAGAGGCATGAAATCCACACAGACTAGGTGCCTGGTGGTGCGGCCTCGTGGACATGGAAACATGTTGGCGGTTCCTGGCAGGTGACCAGACTTGTGGGACGGAGGGGGCGGGACCCCTAGGGAAGGCAAGGCGGGAGCTTGGGGTGCGCATCCTCTCTCCCTGGCTAGCAGCAGCCTCTCCACTGATGGGCCTTTGTGACTTCCAGGAGGTCTTTTTCCTTTTGAAGTTCTTTGAAATCCTTCGGATGCCCAGGCCTGAGAGTTTGCCTTCACGGCCTGCTGAGTGCTGCCTGTGGCGAGAGCGCCCCCTGGTGCTGGCCGGCGTTACTGTCGCTTGCGGATCAGCACCCTTGGCATTGACCTGTGCGCAGGACCGAGAGGGGCCCCTTTTTTTAGCTTTTAGAAAAGGAAAAGAACTGAAACACCCACCACAGAGAAAAAGGGAGCCACGTGTGCACGTGTGCCTCAAGACTCAGATGCAGGTTTTGGCAGGTGCCAAACACTGACCTTGGGGACGGAAGCTTCCCCTCAAAGGCGGAGAGGGGCGTGAGGACTCCCTGAGGCTGAGTGTGGGGCAGGTGCCTTCCCTAGTGCAGGAGTCAGCGCTGCTCCCTGCCGCTCCCACAGAACGCGTCCGTAGCCCAGCCCTTGCAGGACTGAGGTGGGCGTGTGCCCGCGCGTGTTAGAGGCGCCATGGTTTGGGCCACCTTGAAGACACCTGGATATTTTCCACAATGAAGTTTTTGTTTAATTAGCATTTATTGCGGTCCTCACTATTTTTCAGACCCTGGGACTGTGAGGTGAATTAATCACCTCAGAGTTCGTCACCTCAGGCCAGTCTAGGTAGCTTGAATAGTCCGGTCAGTAGTAACAGCCTGGCTGTAGGAGAAACAGGGAAGTGTGACCACAGCTGTGGCACTGCGGGCCGAGGCCGGGGGCCACGGGGGAAGGCGCGGATGGCCTGGCGAGCTCTCTGTGAGGTGGGAGAGCAGGAAGGAAATGGAAGCCGCAGGGTGGAATCAGCCAAGGGGACCGAGGCTAGGTGGGCCAAGCTGGCAGGTCAAGGCACAAAGGGCTTGTGGGGTCTGGGAAGCAGTGGAGGACACCTTGAAGGGTATGTGGGCGGGAAGGAGAATGAGTGGGTGAGAGGCTTACAGGTGGCTGTGCTGGCAAGCCCGGACCCACGGTTTGAGGCAGCGGGCCTCTCCACCTGTGCACTGAGTGTGGGGCTCAGCGGGTAGTTCCACATCCCTAAATAAAAGAAGACTGAGAACAGCCGCAGGCTGTCGCCCGCCTACCAGGCCAGAGCAGGGAGGGGTGTGCTTGGGCTGCAGTCCCCACCTGACCCCGGACTGGAGCCCAGGCACAGAGAAACCAGCTGGGACCGGCTTGAGCAACTGGAAGGCCCAGGCATTACCCCCCCACTTGTCAGGATTTGCAAAACTAAGAGTAAAAGCACCATATTCACTAGAATTCAGGAAAGCTTGCTTAAAAGCTTTCAAAAGAGATAAAATTTGCCCAGCTTTAAGTGGGAGCAAACCCACCCCAGTAGCCGGAGCTGGGGCTTTGTTTTCTGAATTCAGAGGAAGGGGGTTCCAGAGGAGGGGCCTCAGTTTATACCAATGAGTCAGATTGTCTGGAGCGTGTGCCTCTTAGGAGTGTACTTGCCAGATCATTATTCTTGAACTTTTTATTATAGTTTTAACAATTGTCCCTAAGAGCCTTATTAACTATAGTCTCACAGTTGTTAAATAAAAAATTACAGAATCTAGTCGCATGCATTCCTAGTGGCCACTGACAGTAGCAATAACTAGGGAGACGAGAAGGCGTCCCTCCCTCGAGCACCTGCGCCATCGCTCGCCCCTCCTCCCCTCACCCTGCACACTCCCTCTCCAGCCTCCACTTCCCGCTTGTCTGGTAAGATGAGTGTCCATTTCTCTCCACACTGGGAGCTGAGCCCTCGGAGTGGGTGCTGACTCCAGTGACGACTGAAGTTGCCGAGCTGCTGCCGAGCTGGCAGAGCTGAGAGCCCACAGCATCCCCTTCCATCCCCACGACAGCCACATCCCCACGTTCCAGGCCGAGGAGACAGGAGCAGGTGTGCAGCAGCAGCAGCGTTGGGTACAGGTGTCCCGTGCCACCATCTCCTGTTGTTGTTCATTGTCTGTTGGTTTTATTTTTTATACATTTTTTAAAAGATTTATTTATTTACTTATACAAGCACTGGGCACAGTCAGAAGCGCGAGAGGGCGAGAGAATTCACCAGAGCCAGAGCGGGGAGCAGAGCAGGCAGACTGACGAAATACACTGCTGAGGGGAGCAGCGGGCATGGCAGGAGAGGTCTGCGCGCCATGTGGGTAGCTCCCTGGCTGGCCGGGGATTGAACTGGTGCTGCAGAGGCTGCAGGCAGCTTCGCAGCCCAGCACTCAACCGCTGCGCCACCGGGGAGGCCCATCACTCGGGTTTTTATTCTTCGTACTCCATGAAAAATATGCACAAACCCCATTTATTCACCTTGGAAATCACCTCTCCCCTCCTTCTCACCTCCAGAGACTGTAGCTGAGGGGCACTAAGGTCCTGTCCCCGGCTTTCCGTCTGGCCTCTTTGTACCAGGCCCTCCTGACTGGCCCTTCCAGGGCAGTGGGTCTCCCAGCAGAAGGGGGCACAAGGCCCCACTTTAACCCTGGCTCCTAGGCAACACTGGGCTTACACCCTCAGGGCGGGGACCCAGAGAGCCGCAGCAGCTGGCCCCTGGGGGGTCCCTGGAGGGCAGCACGGCCCCTGAGCAGGAACCGAGGGCATGAATTCGACAGTCCTCGGCAGCCCCTTCTCGACCTTCCCTGTGCGGTGTGTGACGAGCGGGGCGCCTCTGCCAGCTGTCAGGTACACGAGGCCCGAGTTGTAGACAAGTTTCTGGCTTCCAGAAGTTTGAAAGTCGGTCTTTCTCCTTCTGTAAGAGGTAGAGCAGGAAAGGCAGCTGTGGATCCAGTTGTGGCGTTGAGCTTCATAAGCCAACTGAGTTTACTACTGAAGGAAAACCATGTTGTTGAAAATGTTAAGATTTTAAAATTGTACCCAAGCCTTTGCCAGTTTCATAAACATGCGCTGAACACACACGGTGCCCTCCACCTTGGTTTTCGTGCCTTTCCAGAAAGAGCCCATGTGTGTTTCTAACCGCACGGCAGCAGGTGCCCTGCCTGGAGGCCGACTGCTTCCGGGCTGTGGCGGCCCTCCCGGGGCAGAAGGGGTCCATGCGGCCGGCCTCCCCTCTCAGCAGATGAGCCAGCAGCGGCGAGGAGCTCACTGTGGTTCCGCAGCGGCAGAGCTTGGTGAGGTGATGTGCGAGCCACCCTGCAGCCACCGCTGCCAGCCTGAGCGCCATCCTCGGCCGGCCACCTTGCCCAGTTGAGGCCCTGCGCACAGTGGCCTTCTCCCTGCGCCAGAGCTAGTTGAAGTAGAGACTCGTCTGATTCCAGCAGGGGGAGACAAGCTCACGCTGATTTGTTTTCTGGAAGGAAAAAAAGGAGTATTTATACTATTGTCTCAGTGAGTGTGTGTTTGTGTCTGTGTGTTGTGTGTCTCTGTGAGTGTGCTCTGTGTGTGTCTCTGTAGAGAAAGGACCGTATTGTTCCTTATGCATGTGCTTGTTTTTCAAGATCTAGGACATGGTTCTTTGAGAACTAAAAGAATGAATGAATATTTCTGAAATTATTTCGTTGTACGTGGTTTATAATGTGGGACTGTAGACAAGAAAAAGTCTGCTTGTCTAGAAAGCTTCGTTTAGAGCGTCTTTTTGAACAAGTTGGCCAAGCAGGTTCCTTCACGCCCCCAATCCTGCCCCCTGCCTCTGCCCGTGCCCGCTCCTGCCTGACCTTAGTGAGTCACCCTGTAAATCAGAGCACCCCCGCCAGAAACCACGGTCTGCTGAGCATGTTAAGGAGCAGAGAGGACTCAGAAGAATCAAACAGCCAATGGGGTGTGGGCAGGGATGAGTTCTCATCCTCCTCGGCCCCCCACAGCTCGACACAGAGACTACCAGCGAGGTTTAATCGACATTAAGAGCAACTCGCCCTTTTTGAGCAGCAATAAATTGTTTCAGAGTTTCAGCCTCATGGCCCAGAGCTAACTGATAATGGGTTGACACATACTCTGCTGGTCACGCTTCGCTTGTAGACACGATTGCCCACAGCCAGCAAATGCCGTGTAAAGGTTGCCTCGTCCTCTGGACGCCTTCCTGGGTGCGTCCAGGACGCCGTGGCTCCTTGGCCCCCGAGTGCCCTCCCCACCTCCCCCGCAGTCTTTCTGCCCAGAGAACTCAGGCTCCATGTGGAAGCTCGGAGGGGGGTCTTGCTTCACTCTCTGCCTCGGTGGCTGACTTCTTGCAGCTGAACAGACCACGTCGTCTCCCGCCCCTGCGTCGGGTTCAGTGGCCAGTGTGAGGACAGTGGTCCTCTGTCTACACGGGGCTACGCCATCCGCCCAGCAAAGGCTGCGGTGTAGCCTGGCACCCCAGCTCCCCAGACTCGAACCTCGACAGAGGGTGTGTGAGGAAATGCGGGACTCTCACGCCACCGGCTCTGGGCATCCGCTGGCGCCTTTGCGCCCCCCCGCCCCTTGGCATGTCGATGCTGTGGACTTGCTGAGACGTGGCGGGGACTGATGACACTTGCAAGCCTCTTGCCGGGGGAGCTGCGAGCGAGGGTTATTTTAGAACCTGAGTAATTGACCTGACAGAGAGTGGTGATTGCTTCATTACGAGCCCCGCGACACTGCATCCTAAGCAGCGGCATGTCGCCGCGCCTGCCCTGTCTCCAGCTTTGTCCCTCCTCGCGAGTGTGCATCTGTCAACCAGTGTCGCTCCCCTTAAATCAGGCACCTTCCAGGTTCTTCAGGTGATTTTTTTTTTCTCTGTTAAGCATTTTAGGATCCCTTGGAAGCCACGCATTCCTCAGGGACCGGCAGCACGTCCATGGCATTTGCCTGTGTACATGTCTCCCCACCCTGCCCACAAGCCCCACAAAGGATAGACAGAAATACAGTCTGCTCTCACCGCGCTGACGTGCTGCCCCAAACGTTGACGTCCAGCCCCAGAGCGGAGGGTCACCGTGCCACTGGGGCGGCCATGGGCCTCACGGAGACTGCCGAGAGCAGAGTGGTCGGAAGGGTGGGCCGGGCCATCATTCATTGGTGTGTCAACCACTCGGGTGCTCCTTGCCGTGTTGAAATAAGTTCACCCCTTCCTTATTTTCCTGCAGGAGGACACCATGGAGGTGGAAGAGTTTTTGAAAGAAGCTGCAGTAATGAAAGAGATCAAGCACCCTAACCTGGTGCAGCTCCTCGGTGAGGCAGAGCTCCAAGGAGAGCCCCAGAGTTTCACGGGGCCCCCAGGGGTGTGGCTGCTGGTGCCTCCATTCTCTCGCTCATCCCTGGGCAGACGGAGGCCTTTGTGGGTGGGGTCTGCGCACATGAGAGAGAGGTTTTCATTTTGAACTGACACCTAAAAGCCGCCCAGTGCAGATCTCAGGTTGGCCTCTGAAATTTGGGGTTCTCTGGAGTGCCTTTGCCCGTGGGGTCTGTGAGCAGACGTGACCGGCTGGTGTAGACCAGCAGTGATTGGCTCATTGAATGTGAGCCTGACTGCTGCTTCTGAACTCGGTGGGGGCCTCTCCTGTGAGGTTCAGGTCTGCCGGCTTGAGAGGAAGGGAAGAGTAGCCTGGCCCCTTGTGCGGGTGTTTGGGGTCGGCTTGGGGCACCCGGCAGAGTCAGAACTCGCTTCAGAAGCCCTTTCCTTAGGGCCAGCCCTTTCCTTTCCTGTCAGGAGAGGCGCAGCAGTCTGAAGCCTCCCTCGATGTCTTGTTGGCAGGGGTCTGCACCCGGGAGCCCCCCTTCTACATAATCACTGAGTTCATGACCTATGGGAACCTGTTGGATTACCTGCGAGAGTGTAACCGGCAGGAGGTGAATGCGGTGGTGCTGCTTTACATGGCCACTCAGATCTCGTCCGCCATGGAGTACCTGGAGAAGAAAAACTTCATCCACAGGTAGGAGCCTGGCGCAGCAGCCCTCCCACAACCCTGGAGCCCGCCTGGAGCCCGGGCGCCCTTACGGAAAGCCCTGGCCTTCGAGGTCGCGTGGCGCAGCAGCCCCTAACTTCATTGCTGGCAGCACACGGGGCCTCGGAACGCAGGCCGGCACTCGGTTCCTGACGGAGCCAGCTTTGGGCACACAGCCGGGACTAACCCAGCCGGCCCGGACCCTGGACTGGCGGAGCACTTAATCCCGGGGTAAGAAATATTCTACTTCAGAACCATTTTGCGCCAGGGGGGATATTAAACGAAGTTGCACAGCTCCTGATCGCAGCTCGCTGTGCCCCCGCGCACCCCGCCCCCTGCCCCAGCCGCCTGCCGTCCTGGCCTCGCCAGCCAGGCTCACTCCCCAACCCGAGGCAGGCAGAAGCCAGGGCCTGGGTTTTATTTATTTATTTTTTTAAGTTATTTATTTATTTATTTATTTATTTATACAAACACTGGGTACAGTCAGAAGCGCGGGAGGGTGAGAGAATTCACCAGAGCCAGAGCGGGGAGCAGAGCAGGCAGAAGGACTGAAGGACACTGCTGAGGGGAGCAGCGGGCGGCAGGAGAGGTCTGCGCGCCATGTGGGACCCTCCTTTGGTGGCCGGGGAGCAGCCGGGGATCGAACCGGCGCTGCAGAGGCTGCGGGCAGCCTCGCAACCCAGCGCTCAAGTGCTGCGCCACCGGGAAAGCCCCCCCTGGGTTTTATTTTTGTGCTGCTTGTGTTTTCCCTCCTTCCTCTTCATTATCATTTCATTCTCCACTTCCCTCGCTGTCATCTGGCGCCGGGATATTTCCACAATGGTCAGAACTGTGTGCGTGCCGTCTAAAATTAAGCGTGTCTGTTGGTTTAAAGCCTGGAGTGCTTTGACCTTCAAGCGCGTCACAATTACCTTGGTCTTCACATTCTTGGCTGGCACAAGTGGCTTCCTAGCACAGAGCTGGCCTGTGCCGGACGGAGCCTGACGGGCTCGGTGGAGTCTGTTGTATAAGACGTTCTCCACGCCAGCGTGCTGACCTTTCCTCCCCAATTAACTCAGGCGTGAGGCCGTGTGTGAGACTCCCAGCGCAGCGCGAGGGCGGCATGTGCGCCCGTGGGCTCGTAGGACAAATTTCCTGTGCTCCTGTCACTCAGGGAAGCGAGGCCTCTGAGGCTGCAGATTGAGAATTCCTGACTCTGGTTTGCCTTGCATGGCCGGGTCTGTCTCGTCTTCATTCAGGCAAACGTAAAACTCTTCACCTAAATCCTGTTAGGCACGGCTCTTCTCTCTTTAATTTCTGATTGCGGGTGATCGGGCTGTCTGGCGCAGCCATCTCCTTAAGCTGCGGCTTCCTCTCCATTCCAGCTTGCCTCATGATTTCATGGTTAAGGTCCACGAACCAGAGTGGACGCCCCCCGCCCCGGGAGAACGGGACGGGCGGCAGCTGATTACACGGGGGCGGTTTCCAGGGTAGGTTTGGATGAGCGTGAGGAAGGAGGGGACAGAAGCGCTGCTTGGGTAGGGAACGCTGTGGCTTTATTTCCGCTTGTCCTCTGAAGTCTGGATGGGACCGTGGCAACTCATGCTGGTGTCGGCTTCACGCCATCCGGGGCTGGCCCTTGCTTGTCCCTGGCCCGCCCGTGTGCGGTGGTGATGAGGCGACACTTACTGTTCTCCAGGCGTCGGTCAGACCAGTTTCCATATTCATTCATTGACACTCGCACCAGCCCTAAGAGGCAGACGCTGTTATCACCTTCATTTTACGGATGAGGTACCTGAGTCCCAAGGTAATTAACTGGCTCCAAGTCGTGGGGCCAGGGAGCAGGCTCCTAGCGTCCCCTCTGCTGCTTGTCCCTGCGGTGGGAGCGGAGGCAGGTGCTGAGGGCAGCCTCTGTTCCTGGTGGGGCGCTAAGCTAGTTTCTAGGGGACCAGACTCAGTTTCCATTGTGGACATCCCACCTGCACTTGCAGGGGGGCTTGGGAAGCTGGGGAGCTGGCCGGGACGCTCACGGGTGCACTTTTCCTTCCCAGAGACCTGGCTGCCCGGAACTGCCTGGTAGGGGAAAACCACTTGGTAAAGGTGGCGGATTTCGGCCTGAGCAGGTTAATGACGGGGGACACGTACACAGCCCATGCCGGGGCCAAGTTCCCCATCAAGTGGACCGCGCCCGAGAGCCTGGCCTACAACAAGTTCTCCATCAAGTCCGACGTCTGGGGTAAGGGCTGCTGCTCGGGGCTGCCTCGCCGGCCAGGCCCTGCCCGAGCGTTCTCCCTGTCACTGTCCCTTTCTTTATTTTTTCTTTCAAATCCTTTCTCCTGTTTTCTCTCCAAAATGAAAGAAAAGTGAGCTTTTTCTTGCAAAGTAATTCAAATGAGCAGTAACAGTCCTGCCGTCTTTCTGTCTCCCACGTCTGCTCACGGGGTGTTGGGGGCCACGGGCCAGCCCCGCAGGCAGCAGAGGCACACCCCCACCCACACCCCAGCCTCGACTCCGGTCCGTTTGCGCCGTAAGTTGCAGATGCAGACTGCCCTCTGCAGCCTCCTGGCTGGCGTTTTATTTTTACCTTTCAAACAGACTTTTTTTGGCCAAGTGTAAGTTGCGCTGGGGGAGACGGAGCAGTGAGGGCCAGTGGCTGTCACCCCTGACGCCTCGGCGCTCCTCCCGGCCTTGTCACTTTGAAACAAATCCCAGACATCATACTATTTTGTCCAAATAATGTTACCTTGTTCGTGTCATGAGTCTCCTCAAGACAATGTTGTTATTCAAATGACCACGTTGCCCGTCGTCTGAAAACAGTCCTTTCTGACTGGTACCAAGTATCCGGGATGCGGATTTCCACTTGCGTCGTAGTGATTTTTTTACAGCCTGTTTGATTGGTGTGATTCTCACAGCACAGCGGGCTCGCGTCTCTGCTGACCTCTGACTTTTTCTCCCTCTCGTTATTTCCCTGGCTGTTTATTGTTGAAGAAATCCTGTTACTTGGCCTTTGAAGCTGTCCACGTTCTGGATTTTGCTCACGACACCCTCGTGGTGGCCTCTGATCCGCTCCCCTGTCTTCAGTGTTCCGGGCCGGGCGGGGGCGGCTGGACAGCTCGGTCGCATTCAGGCTTGGCCTCTCTGGTAGTAAGAGCGCTTACCAGGCCAAGGTGTGCTTTCTCGTCAGTCTGTACATGATCTGGATTTTTCTCTCTTTTGTGACTTTGGTGGTTACTGACACCCACTGCCTAGATCAGCCAGGTTATCGGGGTGGCCAGGTAGCGACTTCGCACCCCTTACTCCTCTTGAGCGCAACACTCTCAAAAGAAGAAACTTCAGGTTATTTGGGAGCGTAGCTCACATAGGAAAGAGGGGTAAACCTTGGTTTCCTTGCCAGCTGAGCTGGTGTCCTAATCCTCCGGTGGCCCCCAGGTAGGCTTTTGTAGTTCCGTCCTGCGGTTTCCTGCCCTCCCACGAGGCCTGTGGTCTTCGCTGGTATCTGCGCTGTTTGGAGCCAGACACTTCTGTTTCACTCACTGCCCCAGCCCCAAATTACCCGCTTCTCCAGAAAAAGCCTTTAGTGGGAGCTGGGATTTCAAAACTTTGAAAGATTCCATAAGATTCTAGTGACATTTTTGAGTTGGAAGGGCCCTGGAGATAACCTTGTCTGCCCGGCAAGGAGAGGGCCTGCCGTAGGGGTGAGCGGTGGAGCTACGTGCAGAATGGCCTCCGAATGCCCAGCCCCAGGTATTCCACCACATCATGCCCCAGCCGGTGGTCACTTTATCTGTAAGACCTGAGGGGGCCAGGTAACCCAGGCCTGTCCTCCCGGTCAGCGAGTTTTAGTCTGTGGCAGTGAGTACATGGGACGTCCTCTCCCCTGCCCTGGGCTGCTGGTGATTAAGAGCCTGGGGCGATGTCAGCCCCGCCTGCTGCTGCTGCAAGCCGGGAGCCGCTGGGGTATGGCTGAATCTTACGCCCCACCCCTCTCTCTTTCAGCGTTTGGAGTATTGCTCTGGGAAATTGCTACCTACGGCATGTCACCTTACCCTGGGATTGACCTGTCCCAGGTGTATGAGCTGCTGGAGAAGGACTATCGCATGGAGCGCCCCGAAGGCTGCCCAGAGAAGGTCTACGAGCTCATGCGCGCATGTGAGTCCCCCCACCCCAACCCCAGACCCTCAAGGCTCCCAGGTGCCTGCCCTCGGCAGGAGCAGCTAACGGGATGGGTCATACATGCTTTTCCATTCTTTCCAGTGTTTCCATGCACATTTCTTTGGTGTCTGGGTCTTTGTTTTTGTTTCGTTTTGTTTTGTTTAAAGATTTATTTATTTATACAAGAACTGGGGTACCGGTCAGATACGCAGGAGGGTGAGAAGATTCACCAGAGACAGAGCTGGGAACAGAACGGGCAGACTGATGAAACACACTGCTGAGGGGAGCAGTGGGCGGGACAGGAGAGGTCTGCTCGCCATGTGGGACTCTCGCTGGCCAGCAGGGATTGAACCGGCGCTGCAGAGGCTGCGGACAGCTTCACAGCACGGCGCTCAACCGCGTGTGCCACCAGGGGAGGCCCAGGGTCTTTGTTTTTAATACAAAAATGGGACTGATGCATCCCAAACCTGAGGTCCTTGTTAGGAAATACAAATTCCTGGCCCTTCCCACACCCTGCTGGAGTAGGTCAGGACCCTGTGGCATTTATCCCAAAGGCTTTATTTTACATATAAAAGTGAGGAGATGATTTTTTTTTTCCCCCACCCACTGCCCCACGAATGATTTCTCTCTCTCTCTCTCTCTCTCTCTCTCTCTCTCTCTCTCTGTGTGTGTGTGTGTGTGTGTGTATCCCTTCAACTTTTATTGCACTTGGTAGTGTAACAGGCACATCTTTCCATCTTTCCATGTCTGTACGCCAGAGGTCTCGCGCCTTCCACTCCTCCTTGTATTTGAGTAACACCCCTTAAATGATTTAATCACCGACCCAGCCCCCTTGATGAACAGTGTTTCACACATTTGTTTGGTTTTTCCCGTTCCAAGCAGGGCGGGGATGAACACCCCCGCGTAAGTGCCTCTGGATTATCCTGGTGCTTCTAGAATTTGAACTTTTGCATCAGAGGGCTCTTTGCATTTTAAATTTTGGTAGAATTTTTCAAGTCGTTTTCCACAACAAGTTGTACGAATTTCTGCTCCCTGCAGAAGTGTGAGAACCGCCCCACCCACCACCAGAGCACCCCATGTCCTCCACCACCCTCCACTGTGCCCCCCACCCATTTTCTCAGCGTCTCTTTGCTAAGGAGGAATTTGGACTTTGATAACCACAAGGCTAGCTGCTTGGCTCAGTAACTCCGCCCTTGCTAGAAGGGGGTTGGAAAAAATACATTTGTACGTGCGGTTCTTGCCGTCCGCGTCTCGGGCCTTTCCAGCCTGTATTCCTGCCGGTGTCTGAAGTCCTCCCAAGTTCAGTGTCCGTGACAGGACACAGTAGCCTTTGTTACTTTACCTTGTCATGGTGAGAGATGGTTGGCAGGACTGGAATGCTGCTTCTATTTCCAGTCTTTTCCTTGAGAATTGCTAGCCCCAAACCAGCTGCACAGCCTCCTGGGTGGTCTGACGTGGGTCTCACCCTTCAGGTTGGCAGTGGAACCCCTCAGACCGGCCCTCCTTCGCAGAGATCCACCAAGCCTTTGAGACGATGTTCCAGGAGTCCAGCATATCCGATGGTAAGGCCATGGGCGCGGTGCCTGCGGGTGGAGAGGTGAGTCTGGGGCCGACTGTGCAGGACGCCCCACCCTGGGTTCCTGTTCCTGACCGCGGGTGCCCAGAAAGCTGTGCGGGGTGCCGAGTGCTGTGCCGCCCTCGCATCCAGAGCCTCTGCAGAATGCCAGAGCAGCGTTTCTTCAGCACCTCCCTCTTCTGTGGCAGCACCTAGGCTGCTGTCAGTTCTGAAAGAAACAGTAATCAGCATATAAGGTGCCGCCGGTACTGATGCTGCTGGGTTTTGTTTTTGTTGGTTCTTAGAAGTGGAGAAGGAGCTGGGGAAGAAGGGCACGCGCGGCGGCGCAGGCTCCTTGCTGCAGGCTCCCGAGCTGCCCACCAAGACCAGAACCTCCAGAAGAGCGGCGGAGCACAGAGACACCACCGACATGCCCGAGGCACCCCACTCCAGGGGGGCGGGAGAGCCTGGTATGTCCCTCCCTGCCCAGCCCCACCCCACAGAGGCCCAGGGAGGGTGGACAGAGGCCATGTGGGGTCTGGCATGGACCACAGGAAGGTGCGCCTTCCCACAGCAGCTTTGGGCCACCAGGCGGCGGTGCCTGAGAGAGCTGCTGAGACACGCACCCCTCTCTCCACGCACTGTTCCCGGCACCTGCATTGCTCCTTCAGGGCAGCTACTGCAGTAGCAAGTGCTGAACTGAAGGAAAGCGCTGATGCGGAGTGCTCGGGGACACCCCGCGCGGAGCTGGCCCCGTGGCCGCCGAGCAGCGTCTTCTGGGGGCTTTTCCCTGCATCATCAGGGAGGGGCCTCACGTTGCTCTCAGGAAACTCTGCCAACACTGATCTCGGGCAGCAGAGCCTCCCACCCCCACCAGCAGCCCCAAAGTCTGCTGCAGACCCACTGGGCCACGGGCCGGAGGTGGGCCGAGCACCGGCCTTGGTCAAGGTGCCCGGGCAATGCCCTGTGTGAGTGGGAGAGACCAGGACACAGCGGAATTCTGGGCATTCAGCCACAGCAGAATCCGTAGGCCTGATAGTCAGTGTTCTTCATTGTATACGCACGTTCATAGAAAAAGAAAGTTGAACGTTCCCCTTTCTATAGCTATCTGTACTACGTACCTGAGCTTTTGCACAAATATATACTTAGAAAATGTTCCACAAGTGCACACTTTGAAAGTGTACATAAGAACTTGAACTAGATTCAACTGCCTTCTTCCCCCACCACCCTGGGCTGCTGCTCGGCCCACTTCGGAAGCTGCGCGTGTGGGCTGTCCAAAGCCCAGACCCCTCTGCCGCCTGTGAGTGGTGACTTTAAGGAGTCCCATCTCGGGGCGGGGGGGTGGAAACCTGGGACTTACTCAGAGCCCAGGAAGCACCCATGTTCGCCCAGACCCGGCATCTTCTCCTGGGGCATCTTCTCACATGGTCCCTGGGGAGCCAGGAGCGCCGATTAGCTATTGAGCCCAGAACTAGTGCTACACCTCATCTCCCTCCTGCTGGGTGATGGTTTCAGGAGGCCTGGCCTTCGGACTCAGGCGTCCTGGTGTTCTGGTGAAAGCCCTACCCCTCTGCTCCCTGCGGGTGCTGACAGCCACCCTCTAAGGGAACACCCTCATTCCCTAGTGGGAGCTGGGCAACACCAGAGCGATTATTAGCAGCTACTGTTCATATGTAAGTAATGCCCATTAAAGATTTCCTCTCTGGCCCTGCGGAGGCCTCTGGGGCTGCAGGCAGGTCCTGACTTTGCCTCCTTCACGGTTCCTCACTCCAGAGAGTGGGTTGAGGGGACTGTGCTTTGACGACACTTGTAGGGGGTAAGGGGCCAGGTGTCCTGGTTTTTGGTTCTGCCACCTTCAAAGTGAGAGGCCTAAGCATTTGCTAATGTAACATGACAGCTCACGCTACTAAGAAACGTGCCAGCATCTGTGCCGTGCCCCATCTGCCGCCTTAGCGCCTTCTCCCAGCCAGGAGAAGGGTAGGCAGCCTTGTTTTGATTTTTTTTTTTATGTTTTCAGTGATGTGAGGACTTCTTACGGCATACCTGTCGTGTGTGTGTGTGTGTGTGTGTGTAAGAACTGGGGTGTAGGGCCTCCCCTGGTGGTGCAGCAGTTCCGCGCTGGGCTGCAAAGCAGCCCGCAGCCTCTGCAGCACTGGTTCGATCCCCAGCCACTGGCAAGGGTCCCACATGGTGCACAGACCTTTCCTGTCTTACCCGCTGCTCCCCTCAGCAGTGTATTTAGTCAGTCTGCCTGTTCTGTTCCCCGCTCTGGCTCTGGTGAATTCTCTCACCCTCCCGTGCTTCTGACTGTACCCAGTGTTTGTATAAATAAATAAATCTTTAAAAAAAAAAAAAAAGAACTGGGGTGTAGGCCAGAGGTCTAGGGGGTGAGAGGAATCACCAGAGACAGAGTGGGGAGCAGAACAGGCGGATCTACTGAAATACACTGCTGAGGGGAGCAGCAGGCGAGGCAGGAGAGGTCTGCTGCGCCATGTGGGTAGCTCCCTGACCAGGGATTGAACTTAGGCCATATGGGTGATAGCACTGAGACTTAACCCCTAGGCTACCATCCTCTTTTTTTTTAAATATATTATATGGAAATTCCAGGTTTAATATTTTTTAAATAATTTTTAATATCAGTTGCAGTTATTTTTTTTTTTTTTTTTTAGATTTTATTTACTTATACAAGAACTGGGGTACAGGTCAGAGGCGCCAGAGGGTGAGAGGATTCACCAGAGACAGAGCGGGGAGCAGGACAGGCAGATGGACTGAAGACACTGCTGAGGGGAGCAGGGGGCGAGACAGGAGAGGTCTGCTGTGCGATGTGGGTTTCTCCCTGACCGGCTGGGAATCGAACCCTTGCTGCAGAGGCTGCAGACAGCTTCACAGCGCAGTGCTCAACCCGCTGTGCCACCGGGAAGTCCCCATCCTCATTTTATAGATGAGAAAACCGAGAACAGAAGGGAGGTGCTGGGCCTGGTAACCAGTGAGTGGTGAAGGGGGTGGTCAGGCCTGTCAGCTACCTCTGGCCTCCCCCAAGCCCCTCCCTCGGCCCTCCCAGGAGTTGTTCAGCTCTTCCTGCTGTGTTTCAGATGCTCTGGACCACGAGCCCGCTGTGTCTCCGTTGCTCCCTCGAAAAGAGCGGGGTCTGCAGGACGGCAGTGTGAACGAAGACGAGCGCCTTCTCCCGAAAGACAAGAAGACCAACTTGTTCAGCGCCCTGATCAAGAAGAAGAAGAAAACCGCTCCGGCCCCTCCCAAACGCAGCAGCTCCTTCCGGGAGATGGACGGCCAGCCCGAGCGCAGGGGCGCCGCCGAGGACGAGAGCCGAGAGGTCAGCAACGGGGCGCTGGCGCTTTCAGCCCCGGACGCGGCCGAGCCGGCCAGGTCCTCCAAGCCCGGCGGCGGGGCCGGCGTCCCCAATGGCGCCTTCCGGGAGGCAGGGGCTGCGGGCTTCCGGTCTCCTCACCTGTGGAAAAAGTCCAGCACCCTGACCGGCGGCCGGTTAGCGGCCGGAGAGGAGGAGAGTGGCAGCAGTGCCAGCAAGCGCTTCCTGAGGTCCTGCTCCGCCTCCTGCGTGCCCCACGGGGCCGGCGACGCCGAGTGGAGGTCGGTCACGCTGCCCCGGGGCCTGCCGTCCACGGGAAGGCAGTTTGACTCGTCCACGTTTGGAGGGCGCAGAAGCGAGAAGCCGGCTCTGCCGAGGAAGCGGGCAAGTGAGAACAGGTGTGACCAGGTGGCCAGAGGCACGGTCACCCCCCCGCCCAGGTTGGTGAAGAAGGTGGAGGAAGCAGCTGACGAGGTCTTCAAGGACGCGGCAGAGTCCAGCCCGGGCTCCAGCCCCCCCAGCCTGACTCCAAAGCTGCACCGCAGGCAGGCCGTGGGGGCGCCTTCCTCCGGCCTTCCCCACAAGGACGAGGCCGGGAAGCCAGGGGCCTTGGGGACACCCGCCACCTCCGAGCCGGCACCCCCCACCGGCAGGGCAGGGCCAGGCTCTTCTGGGGGAGCCAGCAAGGCCCCCACCGAGGAGCCCAGGGTGAGGAGGCACAAGCCCTCTTCCGAGTCCCCTGGAAGAGACAAGGGGAAGGTGTCCAAGCTCAAGCCTGCCCCCCCGCCCCCCCCACCAGCCTCGGGGGGCAAAGCCGGGGAGGCCGGCCCCGGCGGGAAGGCCAAGCCCACCGCCCTGCTTGTGGATGCGGCGAGCAACGATGCCGCCAAAGCCAGCCCACTGGGAGAGGCCGGCAAAAAGCCTGTCCCGTCCATGCCAAAGCCACTGTCGTCCACCAAGCCGGCGGGGGCCCCCACCAGCCCGGGCGCCACTCCCTCCACGGCGCCCCAGGCCGCCTCTGCCCTGGCAGGGGAGCAGCCGTCCTCCACCGCCTTCATCCCGCTCATATCCACCCGCGTGTCTCTCCGGAAAACCCGGCAGCCCCCGGAGCGGCTCAGCAGCGGGGCCATCACCAAGGGCGTGGTCCTGGACGGCACCGAGGCCCTGTGCCTCGCCATCTCCAGGAACTCCGAGCAGATGGCCAGCCACAGCGCCGTGCTGGAGGCCGGCAAGAACCTCTACACGTTCTGCGTGAGCTACGTGGACTCCATCCAGCAAATGAGGAACAAATTCGCCTTCCGGGAGGCCATCAACAAACTGGAGAATAACCTCCGGGAGCTTCAGATCTGCCCGGCGAGCGCGGGGAGTGGCCCAGCGGCTACTCAGGACTTCAGCAAACTCCTCAGCTCTGTGAAAGAGATCAGTGACATCGTCCAGAGGTAGCAGGAGCCCCCCGCAGTGTGTGAGGGGCTCCCCATGCCTGCGGCGATGGCCACGGCCCAGGGGCTCTGTGCCAGGCGGAGTGGAGCCACTGTGGAGGCTGCCTTACTCCCTGCCGTGCCCAGTGCCCGCCCGCCCGCCCTCGGCCCGGCCGGAGCCCCCCAGTCTGAGTCAATCTGTGAGCCCCGCTCCATGACCGCAGTTGGCTGCAGGGCCCGCCAGCCCTGCCCAGACAGGGCTTCCGGGGGAAGGGCCTCTCCCTTTCCTGCGGCTCTGCCTTCACACGCCCCCCAAGGAGCGCATGAGGGCCCGGAGCAAGAGCGTGTCACCCAGACCTGGGCACCGCGGCCGCCCCTTGCCCGGTGGGGGGAGGCTGTGTACCCGTTTCCCCGTGCCCCTGCGCTAAAGCCCTGTTTCCGGAACTGCACCCCAGGAAGCACCCCAGCTGCACACTGTGCCCTCCACACCGCCCGAGCTGGTGCCCTCGCCATCTTCTGAAGAGGACGGCTCTTGAGTTGGGGCTGCAAAACAGGGTGCTAAAGCCCGCCGGCCTCTGGTTCTGGGGCCTAGTAGGGAAGCTGAAGAAGCCCATGGGGGTGGGGGGGTGGGGGGGGGTCTGTCATCCCTTCTCTGTGTCCCAGCCCAGAGTTCCTCGGGACGTGCACAGCTGACCCTGGAGAGAAGCAGATCTCACGGGTGGCGGCGGCTGTGCAGCGCCTGGGCTGGGGCCCGGCCTAGCCAGGGCTCCCTCTTTCACATTGCCAGACGCCCTGAAAAGGTCTGGATTTCTGAACGCCCCCGCCATGTACCCCTCTAAGACAGAGTCGCTTCCTGCAGGGCCCTCCCCCATGACCAGCCAGTCTTCAGTTCTCTGGCGTTTGAAGCATTTCAAAGCTCTGCCACCCGCGTCAGGCGCCAGCCGCAAGCAGGAGGAAGGGTCTGTTGGCATGAGAGCCCCACCAGCGTCAGCTGCTCCCTGATGGGCCCCTGTCTTTATTTAATACATGAGAACTCCTGGCCACGTGTTTCTGTTGGGGCCATCAGGGATGACAAAAGCCACAGAGTGACTCCCCGCACTGTCTCCAGGAGCAAGGCCCGGGTCTCCTTGGCCTTGATGCGGAGCAGCTGCTGAGGGGCAGCTGGCACGGCCCGGGCCTCCCACCAGCCTGGAAACAGCCGAGAGCGTCTGCTCACTCGAGCCTGCGCCTGGGTCGCCTCGCTCAGGGCCCCGGCACTCACCCCCCGAACTTGGAGTCTCGCGTGGCTCGTCTCAGGCTGTCCTCAGAGCACACGGCCTCCGTGCCCCCCAGACTGCCGAGTGACAGACTGAGGGGCAGACGCCGCCGGCGGCCTTGCAGACAAAGCGAGACAGACCCACCGCTGCCCCGACGCCGTTCTAGGAGGTGCTGGGCTCTCACAGATGCGCCACTATACTCTGCATTTATACTTGGTATTACACTTTTATAGACGTGCGCTTTTATACGTGACGTGTAAATAGTCGCCCACCGTCCTCCCTCCCGGAACGTCCGTGGTCTTTTTCTCCCCGTTCGGTCCAGTACATCTTGTCTCTGTATATGACTGTGTTTTTTGAATCCACATCTCCGTAGTATTTTTTAAATAAATGTTTACAACATCGAGGCGTGGGCCGGTTTCATTGGTCCTGAATTCCTCCCGGGGGCTCGGCGCCGTGGCCTGCGTGCGCGCTTCGCACGCCTCCGCCGCAGCAGGAGCCCCTCCTCCTCCTCCGGAGCGGTTGCCTAGCCCTATTCGCAGGCCCTTCCTGGGCCCTGGATGCCTGATCTGCCGGCAGCCAGCCCCTGTCAGCTGCCCTGCGTGGGCGATGCCACCGGGGCGCCCTGTCAGGCCGTCTCGGCGCTGTTGAAATGGGCAGGCCCTTGCTGGCCCCGGGGTTCATCCCTCTGTAAGCAGATGCTTCTCTCTGCCCTTGAGCCCGCTCTGCCCCTGCCCTCAGGCCCCCACGGGGCCCCTCGCTTGTGTTCCCCGTGCAGGTGGCCCCTTGCAGCACGTGGATGTAAAGGGACAGGGTGTGCTGGCCTGAGGGGCCGAGGCGCTGTCCCGGGCCCTCCTGTGGCCTCCCAGCCCCCACCCACCAGGGGGGCTGCTTTGCGGGGGGAATCTGACCTGTCTTTCGGCTCAGTCTCCATTTAACAGCAGCTGACAGCTTGGGAAGTGGCAGTCGGGGAAGTGAGGATAATGATACGTATTAAAGCAGCAGACTTGTCACGGGATCCAGAGCCTGCTCACCAAGCGTGCCGGAGAGCGCGGTTCAGTGCGGCCTCTCCACAGAGGCCGAGGCCGAGGAGGCCTGTGTGTGGTGGGTGGGCGGGCAGCCTGCACCCGGGGCGTGGACACAGCCCCCCCCCCCCACTCCCTGCAGCCTCAAGCTGAGACGCTGCGGGCGAGGGCACAGACGCAGCCCGAGTCCTCACCCCCACCCCACCCCCTGCCGCTGTGTCCAGTGACTGAAGACCCCTAGGCGCCAGGCCCCTGGGGAGAACAACTCCCAGGTTGGAGCGAAGGCCTGGGTGGTCTCGTGATGGCCGCTGCTGGCTGCCTCCCCATAGAGCCCGCGTCCTGGCGTCTGCTGCCCCGGCGTGACTGCCTTTCCCCGGTGCTTGGCAGAGCTCGCTGGTCCAGCCGGATCTCGTGGGGGGCCACCTGGGCAGCGGTGCCTGTGGGAGGTACGAGTCCCATGAGCTCCCCGGTAGCCCCACCTGTTAGCCTCCATGCTGCCCGAGCTTGAGAGACTTCCTTTGCTCCAGGACAAGGACTCCTAACCTTTTGTAGGTCACAGAGCACTTGAGGGCCTCCTGCAAACTAGACTCAACCCAGAAAAATACACCGGCGCACTCAACAGTCCTGTTTGCAGTACCCAGAGCACCCGAGGGCCAGGCCTGCTGAAAGGGACCCACGGGTGCTATGGACGCTCTTCGGAAATGCAAACCTAGAGAGCACCACCCCCCAGAAAGGAGGGATCCAAACAGCAGACGCCCCGAGGCCACAGAGGAGTGGGCAGGCTGTCCCGGCTGGGTCACCGAGCGGGGCGTCCCAGGGCAGCGAGGCCGGCCGCTGGGGCCGGATCGAGTCTCACAGCAGAGCCGAAGCAGCCGGGCCAGGCAGAGATGCGGAAACTTCCATCAGCACGCCCGGCTCGCTGGTGGTGGAGGTTGGGGGGTGGGGAGGGACGGGGGTGGCAGGGGAGGGGGCGACAGGGGGGGCGGCCTGCCTGGTTGGGGCCTGGGGCATCTGATGTACTTCCGTGTCCATCCAGGTGGGGCTGCTAGCAGGGTCCCTTGGGAGACCCCAGAATCGCTGCCTGTCCTGGCGGGGTGGGCGGGGCGGGGCACTTGAGGGTGTCCTGCAATCATCTACCCGCGTGCACGCCTGCGGCTGCTCCTGAGCCAGCCTCTGCTTCCCCACTCGGGGCCCTCACGCCTCTTCTGTGAGGAGCGTCGGCCAGAGCCCTCAGGGGACGGGGAAGCAGCTTGCACTGCCACACGTGCGGCTCACACGTCCCGCACAGGGAGAGCGAGCGTTACCTGCAGCCCAGGCGTCAGGTCTCAGGGAGGCGCACCTGAGTCAGGGCGGCTCTCGAATGCCCTGTGCATTGAGTCCGGGAGTGGGCGCGAGGCCTGCATCCTGGCGGCTGGGCCCTGCCCAGGCTGAAGGCCCCTGGGCTGGGTGGGGGTCCCTTGGCCCGGAGGAAGTTAGGGTGTGGCTGTGGCGGCTCACCCCCCTTCTTGGCACTGCCTCTGGGCTTTCTCCTGAACGGAGTCAAGCCTCTGCCTTTGTTCTTAAAGACTGACATTAACATTTCAGACAGAAGTACAGACAGAAACGTCCTCTTCTGATTTAAAAGCTAAACGCCCTTCGACCTAGTGCCCTTGGATCTGGGCACCGGGGTGGCTTGCGTCTTGATTAAGCAGCGCGATGTGAGCAGCTCAGGCGCCCGGGCAGGAGGCCCGGGCAGGAGGGGCAAGTGCCGAGCGCCCTAGGCTGCCCCTGGGCCGTAGAGGCCCGCCGGGATTCACTTGGAGATAACCTGCCCCACCAAGGAGGGGGGCTCAGGGGCGACACGAGGGGCCCGGAAACCTCGACGAGGCCGCGGGGTCCGGAGCAGGGGGCTTCAAGAGGAGCATCTGGCAAGCACGGTGGGGGTGGCCCCCACGCCTCAGGGCCCCGGGGTCAGGTTGCTCTGCTGTTGGGGCCTCTCGCGCTCACAGCCGCACCTGGAATGGCGCTGCCGATTGTTGCCTAATGATGAAGCCTGGCGCCAGGCTCGCGGTGCCGTGGAAGCCCGCCTTGATCCCCCTCCACGGAGGCTAAACCAGCTCTAAATTCAACACCGGCCAGTGCACACCGGCCCGTGAGCACCTGCAGGCGCAGCTCCGCGTGGGGGCCTCCAGCCTCTTGCCAGCAGTGACCTCGGGGAGGCGCCTTTATCCCTCCTAGGAGCAGAGATCGGCGCGTGAGGGTCGGCCGAGCTGCGGGCCCTGGTCTGTGGAGCTCACCTGGCTCTCGGGAGCAGGCCTCCTGCGGGGGCGGAGGGGGATGCTGAGGGAGGGGCTGCTCCTGGCTGCCGCCCACCCTAGCCGGCAATGTAGAAGAGCATGCCCCAGGGGAGGGCCTGGGCTGGGCGGGCTCTCCTGCCCTGGACCTGACCCCTGGGGCCCCCGCCTCGGCACCTGCCATCCTCTGGACCTGGCTCGTGTGGCACAGCTTTGCCCTCCCCTGCTTGAGGGCCAAGTGTTGGCCCCTTTCACCCACAGGCAAAACCGGGGCCATGTCCATGACATTGGCAGAGGGCATCCCGGGGCCTCCTGCCTGGGACAGTGGCAGAGGGCACTCGGCGCCCCCACAGCCCGGGTCCCAGGCATGGCCCAGGGGGCGGAAGCAGCAGGAAGGCGCCAGGGAGCAGGCGGCCGCCCTCGCGCCCGTGGATCCTTTGTAGCTCAGACCTGTCAGCCCTAATGAAGTGGCTTTCTGGCTGCCGAGGATGGAGAGCTGCTGGCGGGGGGCGTAAGTCACTCAGAGAACGGAAAACACTGAAATGCGCCAGGGGGCCGAGTTGGGCCCGGCCCGGTGTGGTTCTAAAAGGCTAATAAAAATCTACC